TTCCTGGTTGCTGTGATTGAAAGAGTGCTGACATTTCCAGAGCACTGCGGTTCCTCTGGAGTACCCTCCTCTACTTTATTGCCAAGGCAGTCTAACCCAGGGTCTGCAGAACTGATCTGAGGACAGACGCTGACATTTACAAAAGGTCCACCGTTTTTCACACACCATTAATTAAAGTGAAAACAAATCTTTGCCTCCCTTCTTTCGCTCTTCCACCCTTCGCTTCAGCTGCTCCTGCAAGTCTTTGGGAAAACTGTAGTGACACAGGGATTCCATTTAGACAGAACTAATAGGTTTACTTTCAAGAAAACGCTTGGCCTCACATTAACGATGACGACGGGGGAGCCCTCGCGACGGGGACTATTTGGCGGCGCTCGCTAATGAAATCTCAGGGAAACTCTGTAAAAGAGATCAAGAGGTTTGGAATGACGGCCATTAAATCAAAGCTGACAAATAATGCTATAGTTTTGTTTTGAATGGACACAAACAAAAGTATGTCCTTGTGAGTGTGCAGATTATGTGATGTGCTGCTTGACTTTGAATGTACAAAATGTAACACAGAATATTAACTCATATCCTGGAACATGTGAAATGCATTAGACTGGAAAAGGTACACTTTATAACAATAATAAAGTAGGTCTTTTACGCATAATTGAGCGCCCAGCTGTTTCTTTAATCACCTCTTATGACGTGTGAAAGTATGAACGCAATATGCATCTTAATAATAGCTATGGTGCAAGATTGGCATTGTAAAGGATGACAACATAATTAGTATGTTAATAGCAAATATATATGTTTTGACTTTAAATCCACATTACCAAGTGTAAAGGGGGTCTTACATAATAATGTTCATGTAAATTGTGTATGTTGATGCACATCAGAGGTACAGACATAGTGTGCAAAGAAAATAAAGCTTTGGTTATGTACTCTTTGTGCAATTTTTGTTCCTACTCTCACATGGAGGAGGAAAGTGTGGGCCCCTCTGCTGGAAATGCTTTACTGGGTGACCTGACCCCGGATGAGCGCTAAAACATGGATAGATGGACTCTATGTGCCTTTTCAAACTTGGGAAAATGACAAAGTACCATTTCTGCAGCCAACTTCAAAGCATGAGTGCCGAAGATGTTTCATACCGGCTGAATTCCATTTATTTTTTTAACAGGGTAGATGCAGCAACAGATTCCTTCTCAAGCACCAAGAACTCCTGCAAATAGTGACAATTTGAGTCAAATGTATGTCTTTTTAAGGAAGGGGACCGCCTGGAGTCGTCCTTTTTAAGGGTGTCCTCTTTGAAATCAAATGATAGAAATAGCTAAATTGCGAAAATAGCCATGATTTTAAAATTTCACTGAAAATTATGGCTATTACTTTCTTCCGAACCGTTAGTGCTTTTTCGAATGCAGATTGGCATATTTTCCCAGATGATGTTCAGTTTCACAATTAAGAAGCTCTAATAGTGCAGTCTGAGGGACCAGAGTGCAGAGTGTTTTCTCTGCAAAATCCTGCTGGTGTCTGCATGGACTTATGGGAAATGACTGTATAATGTCTCTACCTATTACTGTGTGTATTGTTTGTTTGAGTTGTCGTGTCTATGAGCATGAGGGTTTGACCGGCACCGAATTGCGTGTGTGTTGGGGCACACGCTAACTTATCTGTGTGTGTTGGAGCACACGCTAACTTATCTGTGTGTGTTGGGGCACACGCTAACTTATCCTTGCATTGCAGGCCTGCAGTTAGCGGTTGTGTGCTAGCTGAGCTGGAACGGGGTAAGGCAGATTGCTTTGGGAGTGCTTTATTCCTCATGCTTTTCATTTAACAGCTTAACCAATCCAATCCCACAACCAGGAGGGGAGATTTAACATTTACTCTCCTTACTAGTTTTGATAACAATGCATGAATTATCCTTTTTAAATTACTTTCTACATGCGTTTTTAAATTAAAAACTATTAAAGTGAATCAATCATTCGTGTTCCCTCTCAGGAGCCGGAGCATGTAACTGTGTGGCAGTTTGTCACCCACTGCATTTTACATTAAAGACAATTAGCTCACACTTCTACACAGGGCTCGACTGAAATGCAGTGACGGAGCAGATTTAGAGGGTTACGTGTATTAAAAAAAATGACCTCCGAAGAATAACTTGTTTTTCAACTCCCGCATTTAAGAGTTTAAAAATGCAACTCCAGCTTTTATAAGAGGTAAAATCTAATACAACACAATATGATTTATAAACAGGATGTTAATAATTAAGTTATTTCAGTAGACCAGGGGTTCTCGCAAACCCCATATCAATCAAAGCAGTAACACACTGCAATAACACAAAACAACAAGCTGTTAATGTTATGCTGTGCTAACTAGCATCTAGCGGGCCTACAGGCCTGGGAAGATTGGAGTAGCAAATCAGTTTAATACTAAGTAGATTGAAGAGAACAGGTTGGAAACCTTTATTATATCGCTGGAAGGCCGTGTTGTTTGTGTAAATGCATGTTGAAAAGACAAGATTGATTTCTGTTTCTGTTTATGGGTGTGTTGGAATAATGGTATTGCCTTTGGACAGTTAAGGAGCCCTAAACTATTGTATGTCCTCATAGAAAGAAGACAAGATGTCTCTTAAGGCCCAGACACACCAGTCTGTACGGTTCATCATTTGAGAACCATGAACATCTAATGAAATGAATCAATCAATGTATAGTCGCTGAGACATTTCACTAAAAACCACAATGTAGACCTCACTCAAAGAAAGCTCAAAGGAGCTCCATTGTCAGAATGCATGATCCTCTGGGGACCATGAAAAAGACAAATTACTGCAATCGATCAAATTTGATATTTCAGTCTTCAGTCTGGACCGACGTCGGGGCTCGACACACAATTCCATCCCTGAAGGCCCTTTAATCATGATGTTAACGATAAAGTGCCAAAGAAAGAGCAGGAAGAAGTATCAGAGAGTTACGCGGGGAAATGAAAGAGGAACAGAATGAAAGATGGAGACAGAAGGAAGCGGGAAAAACAAAGCAAAAGATGAAATTGAACAGCAAGAGAGGCTGTGAATTAGTAACAGGAGAGGGGGAACATGAGAGGAGCGGAATGCTGTGAGGGTTGTTGGATAAAGCCTGTGGAGATAAGAGCTGTTCAACAGGCCCTTAAAAACCTGCCAGGACTATGTTTGAACTCTGAGGCTCAGTGGATCCCAGGCAGAAATCTCTTGGAATTAAACCACTAAAGCTGAGAAGAGAAGAAATATGAACTTTTTCTCTTTCCTCACTGACACTAATCTTAGTCAAAAAAGTACTTAGTAAAATTGTATTATATTTGGTTGATAGATTTCTGAAAAAGAGCAATTTTCTCTCGGAGCCACAACCCCATGAAAAGTCATTTATTATGAATTATTATTTCTAACTTCACGATTTTAAACTGAATACATATTAATTTAATCTGCTACACTGACAAACTGAGCCAGTACACACACACACACACACACACACACACACACACACACACACACACACACACACACACACACACACACACACACACACAATCTGTGTTCCATCAAGGAAAAACCACAGACTTCCGTGAAGACAAAAACAAATAGGCGATGAGAGCTCATTTGCTGTATGCCAGAATGACATTTGGCTGTATCTGGTGTGTGTGTGTGTGTGTGTGTGTGTGTGTGTGTGTGTGTGTGTGTGTGTGTGTGTGTGTGTGTGTGTGTGTGTGTGTAAAGAGACAAGTGTTGACTTTGTATAACCAGAAAAGAAGCAGGAAAAGATTAGAAAACAGAGAAAGTTTTACTTAAACCTGATATATTAGAAATAAAGATATGTCCTTAATACAAACCTGTTTTTAATCAAGGCCAAGTGCTTCATGCAGTTGAGACCACTATTTAGGGTATCTACAGACCCCAAGGAATTACAGAGTATAAGGAAAGTTTTTCTCAAGATTCTTGCATTATGTGAGGAGTATACCATTCCTCCTGTATGATGTTTTATTATTTAGGAGTCTAAGTCCCGATCTAAACAAAGTTTGGACTGACACTAGGTTGAATGCCCGAGAACATGTTGGATGTTGTACTGTATATATATATTTGTATATATTTTTTTCAACCTTTCAAATTTTGCCCATGAGCTGAGATACATTTTAAAACAAGACTAAACATATACAGCCATACTGCTTTAAGAGGTTGTATTCACAGTGATGCTTTAAACTCAATGCTAGCATCAGCGTGGTGTTAAGATGATAATACTGAGCTAGTTCACCATGTGGGTTTGGCTAATGAGTGATACACAGAAAGTACAGTTAAAGAGCAACTTCCAGGTTAAAGACACCTGTGAATAAATGTGTAGGAAAATGATGAATACACTAGATTTTCAAAAAAATATACAGAAATATATACACTACAGTGACATCTGGCGTCGTTTTTGTAAGAAATGTTCACTTCCGCATAAAAAAGCCTCGGCACGTGACCTCCCGCGTGTGACGTAACATGGGGGAAACAAGGGGGAGAGCGGCCGGTGTAACGTATTAATAAACATGGATCCCAATGCTAGTTTCGACACAGAAGAACAGAAGAAGTTGAACATGAATATTCGAATGCATATGACGGACCACAACCTTATAATTATGAGCCTGCTAGGCGTCCAAGAGACCAGGAGCAGCCAAGGATTAGAAGAAATAACGGCCATCGGAGAGAAATTGAGCTGTGGTGTGAGGAGAACCAGTGGAGAACTGGGCAGCTATCTTGGTGAGTGACCGACTTTAGCTACAGAATGTTTTCTAACGTCACATCACAACATTGTGAAGTTAGCTATCATATATCAGGCTATAACTAAAGTAGCATTGATAATATAGTAACGTTACTGGCAGGACTGTTGATACTGATCCATAACAGAAACTAATGCGCAAGTATCCACCGTATCTCGCGTTACCTAATGCAACCCCACACTACGGTGCTGTGTACCGGAGGAGAGACGCGTGATACGGCTGATACTTGACGATCTGGCGGAGAAAGGTTGTGGAGCCTCCGTTGCCGTTGTAAATGGCTAGATGGAAAGCAGGTGTGTTGTCGGGGAGGGTGCACAGCTGATTGCAGCAGGTGAGTGGAGGTTGAGCCGGGAGCCAGGAGTGACAGCTACCACGCACACACAAACAACACAGACAGGGGGAAACAAACAAACACAAAGGAGACGGCTGGAGCAGTACAGCCACCACAGCGTTACCTAATGCAACTCCACACTATGTCTTACGGTGCCGTGTACCGGAGGGGAGGGAGAGAGAGAGAGAGCAGCGAAGGGGGGGGGGGAGAGAGATGTAATACGGTTTCCTGATAAAGCTGTGGAGAGTATGTGCTGCAGGGAGGTGAATGCACAACGCACCCAGGAACGAACGCTAGCTCCGGTCCTTTTTACTGTGGACTCGATGTCCTGACAGGCTGGTATTTGTGCAACCTGCACAAACACAATACTGCACCATGATTACAAATGGTGAAATACAATGTAAAACTACAGAAAAATACCAGCTCACTAAAACACAACCGCTCAACTCAACTACTAACTATACCCGCGGTCAGAGAGCGGAGATGTTTACCCTTTGTGATGTAATATGACGTGTTTGACGTATGACCTTAAAAAAAAGCAGTTTTTAAGAGCAGAGCTCAAAATGGCTCCTTTCCCTCTGAATTCCTGCCCTTATGTCTCGTAAAACATATCAAATCCTACATTCACTTTTTTAATTGTAATTTTCAACCAAGTTTAAGCATAAATGTAGAAAAAAAAAAACCCTGCAAGATGCTCTTTAAGGCTGATGGTATGGATAAAGGAAAACTCAGGGGATCACCAAAGTATTCAAATCCATGCTCTGGGGACTATGCATGTCTGAATAACATGTGCCAATTAATCTAGATGGGAGGATACCTCACTGGATAAGGGAAAACTTTGGAGTACTAGGGCTGATACACTTCACCAAAAGTAATTGAACTGACATGGACTCGTAACGTCTGTACAAAACCCCCTGGCAAGCCAAGCAGTATGCATTGAGATATTCCATGCTGGGCTATAGTGGTGGACGGGCATTGGCTTGCATAGACTCATACTGCTAGAATGGCTAACAAGCAGAATGCATGAAAACTGCACAGATTAAACGTCCCTTTTTCTCCCAGTGATGTTAAGTCACAAGCTTCTCCCATTCTAGTGATCAAAAATTAAGCTGACCTAGCTGTCTTGAAGCTGATGGTGCAGAGGAGCTTACTGAATTCATTATGATTCTCAAGTCTGCCATTGTTGACTCCCCCACAGGCTCTGTCTGCTCTCAGTGTGCCTGCCAAGTCAAATTACGAATATTTCCATACATGGATTGCCTTTTTTTTCTCAATGCATGAGCGGGCAGACTGTAACTACATAAAGGTTAGCGAGGCTTTTCCGTGTGCATAGCTCAAAACGCTGCAAAAATCCATTTAAAAAACCTATAGCCATCTGAAATTCAATTTGAAAATGAAATCCAACAAAAAGTAGCAATCTTAACTGGAGTGAGAATAAGGGAGACGGTGTACAAAGAGCATGAAAAGATGAGTCAGTTGATGCCTCATCTTCAAACTCCGACAGCCTCCAGTGTCTCAGTGGGTGGACCGGCTTTAATCAACTGGCCTTCATCTAAAACACAGGTTATTTAGAAGCACAACCCTCCACTGCTATCGCCTTTGAAGACTTCTGATTTATTATATGGTGGGAGTGACAGAAGATTGAGGGCCCCCCCTGTATCAGCTCTAATTGTATTGGTTTTTATCCCTTTTTTCTTCAGCGTTAGCGCCTAAGGGGAGCTATGGGAAAAACTCAGATCTGCAGGACCTCTGAAACGCTTAGGGTCATTTCTCATAGAAGTTCGAAATAAGACAACTCAGTGCAGTGGTTTTGATAAATAAAAACAAGCATGACGGCAGTAGTCACTGTTGCTATGATCCGACATGTCATTACTAGCTATTTTTATAATTTATTCACACTGTGGGACTGATGTGCTTTAAGGGTGTATTATCCATAAAAAAAAAGCCACAAAGTGAGAATGAAGTAGTGGTATTTTAGTATTAGCACTTAAAAAATGTTATTAATCATGATAATTCACATTATTGTGGTTGATGCGAATACATTTGATGTACTGTATGTTTTCTGTAAAAAAGTCCTCACTGAATACACATACAGTGGGGCAAAAAAGCATTTAGTCAGCCACCAATTGTGCAAGTTCTCCCACTTAAAAAGATGAGGCCTGTAATTTTCATCCTAGGTATACCTCAACTATGAGAGACAAAATAAGAAAAAAAAAATCCAGAGAATCACATCGTCTGATTTTTAAAGACTGTATTTGCAAATTATGGTGGAAAATAAGTATTTGGTCAATAACAAAAGTTCATCTCAATACTTTGTTATATACCCTTTGTTGGCAATGACAGAGGTCAAACGTTTTCTGTAAGTCTTCACAAGGTTTTCACACACTGTTGCTGGTATTTTGGCCCATTACTCCATGCAGATCTCCTCTAGAACAGTGATGTTTTGGGGCTGTCGTTGGGCAGCACAGACTTTTAACTCCCTCCAAAGATTTTCTATGGGGTTGAGATCTGGAGACTGGCTAGGCCACTCCAGGACCTTGAAATGCTTCTTACAAAGCCACTCCTTCGTTGCCTGGGACGGTGTGTTTGGGATCATCGTCATGCTGAAAGACCCAGCCACGTTTCATCTTTGATGCCCTTGCTGATGGAAGGAGGTTGTCACTCAAAATCTCACGATACATGGCCCCATTCATTCTTCCTTTACACGGATCAGTCGTCCTGGTCCCTTTGCAGAAAACAGCTCCAAAGCATGATGTTTCCACCCCCATGTTTCACAGTAGGTATGGTGTTCTTTGGATGCAACTCAGCATTCTTTCTCCTCCAAACACGTCTAGTTGAGTTTTTACCAAAAAGTTCTATTTTGGTTTCATCTGACCATATGA